TATGTGTGTATGTGTGTCTATATATATATATATATATATATATATATTCTAGTTGGTTATTAACCATTTTTGAAGTTCAATTTATAAATGGTAGAAGAATGTTTTATTTTTTTAATATGATATTTGAAACCTTTTAATATATATATTTTATGCTGATAAGAAAAAAATTATTTTTTTAATATGTGATTTGAAAATCTTTCATATATATATATATTATATTTACAAGAAAAATATTATGTTTTTTCAATATAAAATAATAAATCTTTTGGTTTGAATTCTTTAATTTAAAAAGATGATATAATATCTTTTTAATGCGAGATTTAAAACTCTTTAATATATATACCTATATTTACAAGAAAAAAAATTATTTTTTCAATATAAAATTTAAAATTCTTTCACATATATATTTTATCTTCATAAAAAAAATTATATGTTTTTCAATATTTTTTATTAAACTTTATCTTTCTAGAAAAAATATTTTGAATAAATCCAGTTAACCTGTCTACCTTCGAAGCTGATTTAATAACTTTGGGATGGAAGGAATATTTAAAATAGTCTTGGAACAAGGCACATTGTTTGCCATCGATTTGAAAAGAGAAAGTTGCTCTCTCGTAATGTCTGCTCTTAAAATCAAAAGAATCTAACATTAAATGTGGGTGTTGTTGCCGTTTCATATTTTTATTTTCTGTTTTCAATAAATAAAAACATTTTTTTTCATAATTTTCTGGTTTTTTCATTTTGTTTTAATGACCCAAGTTATTAGTTCTTCTAAGCATCACTACCTTTATTTTCCGATATTTAGAAGTTATTTTCAAGAACAGAAACCAAAGATAGAAAACGGCAACCATGACCATGCCACAAGGGCTTAGACGAAAGCTCTACAAGACCAATCCACGAAAGTAAACTCCATTGAATCAAGATTTGAATGTGCTGGGCAATGAAAGCCCACGATTATAAAAAAAAATAAAAAAAATCAAATGAATGCTTGACTATAACTGTAAAACCAAGCCTAGTCCAATAAATCTGTGTAAAAATCCGATAATTCAGAACCTAGATTAATTGCTAACTCAGTTGAGGATCATGATTTATGACCTAATCAATTTAATTACATTGATGTTGACCATGATTTAGTCAAGATTTATCCTAGTTGAAAGAACAAAGAAATTCCATGGAATCTTAACCTGATAATCGGGGTCATTTTCTTCGAGCAAGCAAATTAAGAATCTCAAACAAGGAAAAAAAATACATATTTAGTTAAAATGATAGAGATAACATGAACTGGGAGTAAGAATAAACATAATTAGTGTATAGATTACTTGGAATCTTACCAAAGATACACATCTACAAGAAATTATTGAGCTGATTAAAGAGCAAATCAGGGCATTTTAATAGGCAGGGAGACTGTAATAACCTCAACTAGAATTGTTATTTTGCAAATATAAATGAAAAGCAGGAACAAGGAAAGGCAGGCCTGGTTGGCTGCCTAATGATCATGGAAAACAAGGAGCAGTTTGCCTTTGCAGTCACTCCAGATCGTCTTCTCTTATTAAAATGAAATCATCAGTCCTAAACCTAGATATGTATTGGCATTAGTCTTCCCTTAATATCGTCCTTCCTTGGATGGAGTTTTCATTTGATGAAGGATTTGCGTTCTCGGTTCCGAGTTGAATGTTTTGAGTTGGATTTCCTCAAGTTTTATGGAGAAATCCCAGTTTGTGGTCAATGCTCTAATTAACAGACCTGAGATTGCATAGAGCTTAAAGCTTTTCTTCTAGCAGACTATCACACGAATAAAAACAGCAAGATTGGGACTAAGATTGTTAACCTAGCCTTCTTCGTGAGAATGATTTGGTTGATTTTATTATGTCTAGAGCTTCTTCTTTTTTTTTTAATTTAGTTTTTTCCAGTTCAATCTTTAAACATTAAATTATTAAACCTTGAAATTTATATAATATTTTTTTTTATGAGTTTAACATGATCTTAAATCTTGAGTGTTTTTTTTAATCATTTGAAATTGTGATATTAAATATTCAATTTTGTGATATTTTTTAATTTTTTATTATAAGTTATCCTAAATAGTGGATTAATTAAATTAATCTTAATTAACTAAATTTTTTAAATATTTTTTGCTTCATTATTATCTCGAGGTCATTGTTTTTTTTTAAAAAAATTAATTCTCATAATCTGGAACTGCCATCATGAGTCGCATGGTATTACAACTAATCTGAGTTAATTTAAAGGTTTTTTCAATGTTTTTTTAAATATTTTTTTTTTAATTTTACCAGTCGCCCTGTCTGGCGTAAAACTAAAAGTCGAATCATAAGAGATGTGGAGGACATGTGTAGGTCGGCTAATGCTGGCTATAAATAGCTGCTATATCTGTGGTGTGCTAGTGGAGACAAAAACACGTTTGCAGAAAAGAGTGCCGAATGCTTTGAGAAATTTAATATTTTAAAGTAGTTTTTATGGAAAACATGATTTAAAAAAAAAAAACAAAATTGTTAAACGGCTTCACAATTTACGATGATGAAGCATATCTACTTTTGTGGCGCTCCTCTTCGACAGCCAACGTTTTTCAAGGAAAAATGGTGGAATCTAGGGTTAAGATTAAAAATAAAGATGGAAGGGAAGATGAAGATGAAGATGAGGCACAACAATCAGATTAGCGAGAAGAACAAGCATGAAAATTCTGGATGGAGAAATGAATATCGTATCGTAATTTGAAGTTCCAGTTTTGCAGACAAATGCCGTGTGCTGCTGGACCCAACGCAGAGTCTTCTAGGCGTTATCTGTTCTGCCCACCCAATCCTGACAAGATAATCACTTGAGAGTTTCTTTTCTTATTTTATTAATTTGATTTGAAGTGTTGATTTGATATAAAATTTTTCGAAGGAAAGATATATTTTTCTTTAATATTAAGTTGAATTTTGATACTTGTAGTTTAATTCACTAAATATATAATTTGTATTTTTATTTAATAATTTTATATTTTAAAAATATTTTATATTTATTTATATAATAATTAAAATAAAAGCAATAAAAACGAGTAGAATTCAACATTAATTAAATATCGTGATGTTTGATTTATATTATGATAACATTATAAATAATAAATTATAATAAATTATAATAATTAATTTAAAATTAATTAAATATTAAAAAAAATTAATATTAAAAAGATCATATATTAAATCAATTTAAACTTTATAATTTAAATTTTAAAACCCATAACTTAAATAATAAACTTTACTTGAAATTTTTTTTTTAAAAATTGTTACAATAATAAAGCACAAACAACAATAATAATTCAAGATTTTTACTGAAAGTAGAATCCATTACACAGATTGATTATTAAGTTATAATTGATTTGTATATATATATAAAAAACTTTTGAAATAATTATTAAACTCGATTGATTTGATGGCTAGACTAATATGAGTTTGTTAAAAGATTGATAGGTATAATAACCTAATAAAATTATATTTTTTCAATATAAAATTTAAAAATTTCTACTATATATATTTTATATTTCAAAAAAAAAATTATTTTTTTAATATAAGATTTAAAACTCTTTAATACATATAATTTATATAAAAAAAATTGTTTTTTAAATATAAGATTCGAAGCTTTTTCATATATATATATATATATTTTGTATTTATAAGAAAAATATTTTGTTTTTTTAAAGTGATATAATTTTTTTTAGTTTAAATATTTAAACTTAAAAAAATAATATAATATCTTTTTAATGTGATTTGAAATCTTTAATATATTTATTATAGGTTCATAAAAAAATTTTATTTTTTTAATATATAATTTAAAATCCTTTTATATATACATAAATTTTTTTTTTAATATGGGATCAAAAATTTTTTTAGTTTAAATTCAACTTAAAAAATAACCTTGTATTTTTTAATATGAGATAAAAAAATTTTAAATTTATTTTTAAATTTTATTATTTATAATATATATAGTTTATATTTATATATAGATTAAATTTTTTTTTATATAAAATACCAAAAATTTTAAATTTTTTAAATAGATACAAGTTGATCGGTATTCACCTATAAAACCTGTGACGCATTACCTTAACCGAGTCCACTAACAGGTCGGATTTCATAACAATTGAATTTTGTCCAAAGTAGCTACTAAAACTAGTAACTGTTTCTTTTTATATATATGCATGTATGTATGTATGTATGTTATCGTGCGATTACACGCGAGAAATCTACCATGCTCGAGCGGGCGCAAAACTTTTATACCATCGTAGATTGATTACAGATCTGAATCCTCTGTATAAATTAACTGATATTGTGATGAACCCTTGTCATTGTAAACACAACTTTTCAAAATTATAAACCATATCTACTTTTCTGGCGCTGCTCTTCGACAACCAGCTTTTCTCAAGGAAAGCATGGTGAAGTCTAGGGCTAAGATTAAAAAAGAAGATGCAAGGGAAGATGAAGATGTATTAAAACAATTAGATTAGCGAGAAGAACAAGCATCAAAGTTCTGGATGGAGAATTTTCGTATTGTAATGAGAAGTTCCAGTTTTCCAGATTGCAACTGTAGAAATGACAAGGACAACTGCTAAGACGGCCAGTAATCTGTCGTGAATGAGGAAATTCATGGATAGTGGCAGCGAGATTTAGAAAGAAGCATTTAGCTTGCTTTCTTTATTGTGATTCATGTCGCGAGAGGTAATAGAATTGCACTTGCACCTGCTGTTCTCGCCAGCATTTATAGAGATATGACTTGGTTGAATGATTTGCCTGATTTTATTTGCTTTGCTAGTTATATTAGTAACTCAAGTTTGACAAATGAAGCAGATGAAAGTGTTTGGGCTTTAGATTTTCATGATCCCTGGCTTCTCTTGTTCTGTTGGCTATGCTTACTAACATGGTAGTGGAGCTTTGGACTGTCAGGCATGGCGTCACTGCCCACCCCATATGACTGCTCGGAAGCTCTTCGATCCCAGTCTTCACATCTTAAAGTATTCGCTTCTAACTTGTTTGGGGTCTTTTCAGAATGGATCTTGAGAAGGTCAAAAGAATATAAGAAATAAATATAGTAACCATTGCAGCATGGCATGAAATTATCACAGTGTGCAGACAAATGAGGTGTGCTGCTGGACCCAACAGAGTCTGCGAGGCTTTATCTGTTCTGCCCACTAATTCTGACAAGATCAGGACGTGAGAGTTTATTTGATTTTATCTAATTGATTTGAAGTTTGTGTTTTGATATAAAAAATGTTTTTAAAAGATATTTTATTTTAATATTAAGATTATTTTGATATTTGTAATTTATCCCATTAAATTTGTTATAAGTATCTTAATAGTTTAACAATTTTATTTTTTAAAATATATAATAATAATAATAAATTATAAAATTAAACATTAACTAAATATTATAATATTTAATTGAAACTCTAATTATTTTATAAAAAAATTATAATAACAAAAAATAATAAAGATTATGATGATGATCGTAATATTTTGTTTGTTTTTTTAAAACATTTATTTTAATATTAATATATTAATTTTAAAATAAAAAAATTATTTTTTAATAAAAATAAGTGTGGCTTCAATAACAAACGATCTTGAAAACTCTTAAATACAAAATCATATGTGCATAATCAATCATAATTAATTCAAAAATAACTTAACTAATCAGATTTTTAATTTGTTTTACGGGACAAATTAATTTGTTTATAAGTGTAATGATTTAAACACTTTTAAAAGTAAGAAAATTTAAAATTAAAAAGAATAGTTTTATGGTCTTTTTGTAATTTCATTAAATGCATAATAAAAGGATAATATTGATTTTAAAATAAAAAAATGATAGAACTTGTGTTTAGGGGCATTTAAGTTTTTTCAACATAGTTATTTTATAATTATATATTTGGATAAAGGGAAATTAAGACTTTAACCATGTGTGTGTATAAGATTTTTAAAAATGATTGATATGTCTTATGCACACGTTAGCAAGTGGAAGTTGCCCATGTTTTTTAGGTGGTGTGTGCCTCTCCTAACAATGGTTAAAAGTTTGCGTCAAGGACGATGTTTGAAATGATAGGTCATTCCTTGAAAATCTATTATTGAGTTAAATATATCATAATGATAATGCTGGTAAACTGTCACTGAATCTTGTTGTTAACATGAATGACCTGTAGTTTTTTTTTACGAAGCATTCATATGTGGTATGTCAATATAATATTTTGTACAAACAAATTGCATATTTATAAGGAGAAGATCAAATCCGGTCTCTTAAAGTTTGAAGCAATGCTTTAGTGATTGATACAAGATCCATTGCATTTAAGATGTTAAGAGATTTTTGCTACAAAGCTCGACAAAATAAATTGGTAATTCTCATTATTTTTAGCATCATATGAGATGAATATAAATTCAAAAGATTTTATCACAATCAAACAATCACCAGCTTCTCCACGTATAGAATTAAAAGATCCTTCTTGAACTATACTTTTAAGTATAGTAATAGTTGCATCATACATATCTATTAAGCTGCAAATATAATCAAAATGAGAGCTTTAGCAAGTTCACTTTGATGTAAATTACCAATTTGATTAACCCCTTTACTAGTCTCACGTTCTCCAGTAGCTATCATATATGCAATTTCTATAGCCTAAGCATAATTTAACTCGGTATGATGTTTGAGAAAAGCACAAATAAGGTTGATAATGGCTGTTAATTTTGAGAAAAAATAACCAAATAGAAATCTCATTTTCAACTGCTGCAACTAATGTCAATTGTAGTTAGTGAGTAAAGCAATGTACATAATATGCATAAGGATAATCTCTGAGAAATAGAGATTGTAGTCCATTCCATGCGCCATGCATATTGCTAGTACCATCATACCCTTGACCTTACATATTGAATATATGCAAGTTATATCAAGCGAGCATATCATAAATTTCTTTTTTTAAGTGTTGAAGAAGTAGTATCTAAAACATGTACAATACTAAAAAAAAGGCTCTCATATGAAACCTTAAATGTCAACAAATCTCAAAACAATAGCCATTTGTTTTTTATTTGATGCATCTTTGGCTTTATCAACCAAAATACAAAACTTTGCATCTTTAACTTCTTCAAAAATCTTCTTCCTCACTTTGTTCGCGAGAATATACAAAATCTCTTTTTAAATAGTCGGCGAGGTATACTTTGCATTTTTTAGAGCTTTTTATAAGACAATATCATCAATGTTAACATTCAATCTCCCTATAAGTTTTATCATCTCTAAAAAATTACTTCGATTATTAGAAATTGAAGATTCATCATAACCTCTAAATGCACATGCTTGTAAGTTAAGCCATCGAACACTTTCAATTGTTGTTATAAGTCTCAATCGATTTTTCTAAACTTCCTTAGCAGTTTATGCATTCAACACTTTATCAATATGTCTACTTACTTTCATTAAATCTTTAGTAGATTTCACAGGATTATTATGTGGTGAAGTGGGACTTCTCACATGTATTAAACGTGCATATCTAATGCCATCATTAACCCTCTTTTAACTTCTAAAGCTTTAAGTGGTGAATGTGAAATACAAGGCACTTTATTTTCAAAGATAAAGTATGGAAAACAAAATACTGCATTCTTTGATGGAGAGTACTCTAGCTAAGAAAATTGATCAAACCAAGTGTATTGAAATTGACGATACTGTCTTCCTAATTTAGTCCTTGGATAATCTGCTAACTTAGGTTGATATAGACTCATTTTGATATAAGCTCTTCTAATTTCATTTTGTTGATTAATAGGCTGTTTACACACTGAAATTCAATTCTTTGAGATTTGTAAGGGGGTTGTTTACTATGATTTGAGACACCGACATTGGAAGGATAATATTCTTTACTGGTTGATGTTTGTTTATTTGGTTTAAAGAATGAAAATATAGCTTTTCCTCTTTTGTTTCCTTAATTTTTTATTATAATTTAAACCTATTTAAGTAAAATAGATTAGGGAAGTCAGGTGCAAGATGAAAAAATACTAATACCTCAATAGAATATTAAATGCAGAATATACAAGGATAAACTAATAATGCAAATTATTGAGAGATTTGAAGAACTTAACTTTAAAATAACCAGTAAATTATTAATACTAGACTACTAGTGTGTTAGCATGCATTAATTTTTAGGGTACAGTTTATTGTTTAGTGCATTAACAATTTACTGTAATGAATGTGAAATATTAAATTTAAAATAAAAAGTCAGGGCTTGTAAATTCTTAGATGATGATTTTATATTTTTATGGTTCTTTATATAGATTCTTCTTCAAAATTTAAGTTAAAATTGTAAATTATTAAGAAGAAAAATAGCTAAAATCCTAAGTTATTTTAAAGATATGTAAACTAATTAATTATTTATATTTAGATAGATTTGTTATAAAATATAAATAATTAATTAATATTGCAAGGGAAGGTGGATTGCTAATTAATTAGTGTTTCCAGGGAAAGTAAAGTGAGCGGTTTATGGCCGTTAATTAATTTGTGTTGCAAGAAAAGGGAGACATTAGGTTTGTCTTGCATAGAGCTTAAAGCTTTTCTTGAGCAGATGATCGCACGAATAAAAACAGCAAGATTAGGACTAAAATTGTTAACCTAGCCTTCTTCGTGAGAATGAGTTGGTTGATTATTTTTTTGTTAGTTATGTTAGCAACTCAAGTTTGGTTTTGAGAAATGAAGCAGATGGAAGTGTATGGGCTTTGAGCTTTTCATGACCACCGGGGAGATTGAATTCCTGGCTTCTCTTCTTCTGTTGGCTATGGTACTAACATGGTAGTCGAGCTTTGGACTGTCAGGCATGGCGTCACCATCGCCAAAGAGAGGTTGCCCCCCCCTCCCCCTGAAGTTGAATATGACTCCTTGGAAGCTCTTCGATGCCAGTCCTCACATCTTCATATTCAGGATCTTCTTGGCTCGAGTAGACCATGTAAATTCCTTCATTATTTACGGTGAAGGTAATCAATATATTCGCTTCTAACTTGTTTCGGGTCTTTTCAGAACAATTCAATGGATCTTCAGAATGTTCCTCCTCCTATACTTCGGTATCTTTTAGGTGCTGATAGAATAGGCATTGCAGCAGGTTCCTACATGGATCATAACTCCCGCCATTCACTACAACAGTTGCAGAAGAAAGTTAATACTATAAAGGAAATACATACAGTAACCATGGACTTTAGCATCAAGTTATCACAGTGTGCAGATAAATGAGGTGTGCTGGACCCAACGCATAGTCTGCTAGGCGTTATCTGTTCTGCCACCATTTCCGACAAGATAAGCAGTACTTGAGAGTTTATTTGATTTTATCCGGTTTATTTGAAGTGTGTTTTGATATAAAAGAATTTCAAGCAGAAATATTTTTGTTTAATATTAAGATCAATTTGAAATTTTTAGTTTAAATTACAAACTTGTTATTTGTTTCTTTAACAGTTTAAATTTTTTTATTTATTTTAATTATATGATAATAAAAATAAAAATTTATAAAATAAAATATCAATTATAATGTTTAATTGAAATTGTGATAGTTTTATAAACAAATAAATTAAAAAAATTATAATGATAAAAAAATTTAAAGTTGTTATGATGAAGCATTGCCATAGTATTTTTCAATTCTAAAGAGAGTAATATATAATTCTTGAATAGATAATATGAAAACAACAACAATAATTGAAGATTTTTACTAAAATTAAATTTATTAAATATGTTGTTGGATATTGGTTTAGGTTTTTTATATAAAAAATTAAATATTTAAAGGATTTATTAGAAAAAATAACAGTTATATATATATACATATATATATAGGCCCACGAGGGATGGGCTGGTTTAAATTTCTGGCGTTATCGTGCGGTTACACGCGAAAATCTACCAAGCTCGCGCGGACGGAAGACGTGATATTGATTACAGATCCGAATCCTCTGTATAAATTAACAGCTGTTGTGAAGAGCCCTAGTCATTGTAAACACAACTTTCAATTTCAATAGGAAGGAAGTCAGTCAATACGGGTGTCTGCAGCTATGGATTCGATCAAGCCTTTAGCCCCGAGTCGCAGTGTTTCCAAGTCCAAACACAGGAAACAATATTGGGTACGAACCAAATCTAGTTATATTTCTATGTTTTTCTTGTAAAGATTATTCTTAATGCTTGTTTGTTGTTTCTTGACTGCTTGTTGCTATATATCATGTCATTATTATTCCCAGAAATTAAAAATAATTATTATTCTTATTTATATATTAAGAAGAACAGAGGGAGGAGGGAAAAGATGGAACGATTGAAAACAGATATGGTAGAGATCGGCGAGGGACAAAAACGCATAAGAGAAGGGCAACGAGAAATAAGACAAAAGTTTGAAGAGATAGGATCTGAATGCCGCAGGCTCAAAGAGGAGACGATGAACATAGCCAAGCAGAGTGATTACAACCAAACCAGGATCAACCTAATGTTTAGCATCTTGAAAGCCCGTGCAGACAACAACTTTGCCCATGCTGATCACCTCACTGGGCTCCTCCGGTTGGTTAAATTCCCTTCGCCATTTCTTTTCTTAATTATTGGGATATCGGATTCGATAATTAATCTTGTTAATGCTAGCTATTACAAGGAAGGAAACATAGGTTAATGAACTCAAAGTAAAAGAATCAAAATGCACTTTAGATAATTATTTCCCTCTCAATCATTGTGTTTCCTATTCGTTGTGTTGCCAGCGAGGAAATGGAAAAGCGGGAACAAGGAAAGGGAGGCCTGGTTGGCTGACTAATGATCATGGAAAACAAGGTGCAGTTTGCCTTTGCAGTCACTCCTGATCGTCTTTTCTTATTAAAATGAAATCATCAGTGCTAAATCTAGATATGTGTTGACATTAGTCTTCTTGATTAAGGATTTGCGTTCTTCTTTCGGAATTGAATGTTTTGAGTTACAGTACATACCAGTGAATTGCCGGGCGATGCCGCCGGTTATTATATAAACGGTATAAGCATTCGGTTGAGTATAACCTGAGGTAATCGAAGAAGAAGATAGGCAGACAGAATTGAAGAAAATGAAAAAAAAAACAATAAATAAATACCTGAAGCATGGAGGTTAAACAATGCTTTCTGTTAGAGAAACGCAGCAGGCATTGTTCAAGTCTCAAATGCAAAGCCACATGTGCAGAACAAATCGGAACTCACCTAGCTGCAGAAAAAAAAACCTAATTAAGTTCATGCCCTTTCACCGCGCGCTTACAGTGCACCTATTTTAACTTGATTTTAGGGGTTAGAAGATGTTTTATATATAATCCATTAGTCATTAGCGTTTCTAAAGGGGTAAATAAATTGTGTAATGACTTGAACACTTTAAGAAGTAATAAAATTTAAAACCGGGAAGAAGAGCTTAATCATCGCTTTCTACTTTGAATGCACAGTAAAAATGCTATATTGCCCATAAAATTAAAAAATAAAATGATAGAATTTACGTTTGAGGGCATCTAGGTCTTTGCAGTATGATTTTTTTGTAATTATATATAGAAAAAAGATTTTAAAATTAGTGGGAGGTATCCCTATTATGTAGACAGTACATGCAATGTATTCCAATTCCAATGGTCAAATATCATTGTTAATAACAACGTTTAAAACGACGGGTCATCCTTTTTGCGGTGGTGCGATGCTTATTCAAAAAGGAGGTGCGATTGCGCTCCCGTGAATATTTCTCTTCTCTTCTATTTTTTTCACTTTTGGCCTATAAATTCTTGCCTTCTTTTTTAAAAGTCAATTGTGTCTTCCGATTTGTTTCTGTTTATTTCAGTCTTTATTGTTTTTATTGTTGTTTGCTTTTGCTTTTGCTTTTAATGCATTTTGAGCTTTAATTGTTTTTCATTTATATTCATAAGTATTTCATTTCATTTAATTATAATTAGATACTCATTCTTTTTTATTGTTATTTTTCTATCTTTATTTTTTTTATTTTTTATTTCAATTTTATCCACTATTATTTTATTTTATTTTATTTCATTTCATATTTTTTTATTGTTTTTTTAATTTAGTCGCTCTTTGTTTTTTAAAAAACCATGCTAATAAGAAAAATATCCTAGGTAAAAGGATTTAGTGAGTGTTTGCATTTCAATTTATTTTTTAAATTGTTTTTCATGCAAAAAATATTAGATTAATGTTTTTAAATATCTTTGGATGGTTTTATATGTTGATATAAATAAAAAATAAAAAATTATTTTAATTATAAAAACACTATACAACAGAATACCAAATACACAATTAATTTATATCATGATTAATGTTCGCATCCGCCCAATTCTCTATGGACAGATAAAATCTATTCTATTAATGCATGTTAAGTTAATGAATACAGTTACAAAATGGTTTTCTCAGTATTCTAAAAACAAGTCCCATGGTTCAATTATAAAGCATATCTACTTTTCTGGCGCTGCTGTTCGACAACTAACTTTTTTCAAGGAAAACGTGGTGAAATCTAGGGTTAAGATTAAGAAAGAAGATGGAAGGGAAGATTAAGATGAAGATGATGATGAAGTACAACAATCAGATGTGCGAGAAGAACAAGCATCGAAGTTCTGGATGGAGAAATGAATATCGTATTTTAATAAGAAGTTCTAGTTTCCAGACAGCAACATGACAAGGACACCTGCTAAGAAGGCCAGTAATCTGTCGTGAATGAAGAAATTCTTGGATAGTAGCAGCGAGATTTAGCATGAAGCATTGAGCTTGTTTTCTCTATTGTAATTCATGTCGCTAGAGGTAATAGAATTGCACTTGCACCTGCTGTTCTTGCCAGCATTTATAGAGATATGACTTTGTTGAAAGGGAAAATCGCTGGGTCAACCTTGGTGGGGACTCCAAAGGGAATACATGATGGTTTAACTGTTAAGCTTTGGTCATCAATGCAATTAGTTGAGGTTCGAAGAACTGCAGCGGCCGGAGCCTAATCTGATGAGGAGTGGGTATCCTAGGTTGGCTCGGTGGAACATTGAAACAGACAGTTGAGAATGTTTCGTTGGTTTTGGAGTCGGATAAAGAGAGTTTTATTTCGTTTTTCGTATACTATAGCTCTGGAAAACTGGGACTTGCTCAAGTTTTATGGAGAAAAAGAAATGTGGGCGACTATTGGTTCTAGTTTGAATGCCGAATTAATGGCATTTGCTCGATGCGTCTGGGATTTCAATGCTGTGTGGAGTTGGCTGTTCAGAACAGTATTTCGATGGTTCGGAACTGACGAAGACCTTTCATGTTGTGTTGGTCAATGCTCTAATTAACGGACCTGAGATTGCATAGAGCTTAAAGCTTTTATTGAAGAGCTTGAGCAGATGATCACACGAATAAAAACAGCAAGATTAAGACTAAAATTGGTTACCTAGCTAGCTTTCTTCGTGAGAATGATTTGCTTGATTTTATTTTATTTGAATTCATGGCTTCTCTTCTTCTGTTGGCTATGCTACTAACATGGTAAGAGGCATTGCAGCAGGTTCCTAAATGGATAACTCCCACCATTAACAACAGATGCAGATCAAGGCTTCAAGGATAAAAGAAATAAATATATTCATATTGTAACCAACGCTCCAGACATACGCAATTCCTTCACACAAACACGGAAAACAACCTGATCTTCCATACAAGCCATATTACCCCCAGCCTTAGCTACCATCCATCACCTTAAACACCCAGACACAGCAAAGTTATTAAGTTGTTTGTTTACCGGAAAACAAATCAAGCAGGAAAGCATTTTGGCTTTGTCACCATCCATTTCAATATGTCAGACAAAACTCTGCTAGAATGTTTAGATGACATATGGTTTGACTCCTACAAACTGAGAGTTAATGTGGCTAAGCACAGAAGAAAAGATGAAGTGACGAAACAGAAACCAGTGGGAAGAGGGAAACAAATATCCAAGCACAGCAACAAAGCCAAGGCCCCCATCCGTGTAAGAGAGAACCGAAGCTATGTTGAGGCAGTAAGATCAGGGAATCAAGTCCATCAAGCGTCGACTGATAATGCCACAGCACGTGTTCGGAACTTCATCTCTTTCAACAGTACAGATGAGGAAATTTTATGGTTACGAAGTAGTCTTATAGGCAAGATATCTCAAGGAGTAGATTATGCACAAATCAGACATAGTTTAATTCAGCTAGGCCTTGGCTTCTCTGCTTTCCGTTTCTTTGGGGGTTCCCAGGCAATCATAAGCTATGATGGTGAGAAATCTATGCAGCAAGCCATGCAGAAAGCTATGGAATGCTGGAAGCTCTACTTTGATGAAGAAATCTCTGAACTTTACAGCGTGAAAATCCTTATAGGTACTCACTTGCCGGAGATCCATGGCTCTATAGATCTGGCAAAAGGAATTTCATACTCTATGGCTTCAAACCACATTACTTTAGGAAGAAGATGCTGACATTGACTCAGATAATGAAGTGTCAACTGACCTGGCAGGAGATAACAACATTTGCAGGTTGGCTATTGCTGATAAGAATTTTGGGGCTGATGACAAGGCACAGAAAGCGCAGCCCGCATGGGACTTATGAGGTCTATGATCATAGCTATTCTGCCACAATAAATGCCACTGACAACACAGAACGGATACATATCGTTGTTGAAGATTTCTTTCCAAAAATAGCAACTCCTAGTACTCCCCACCACTATTTCTCTAGCAACAAGCTTTCCCAAAAACAACTACAAGCAACAAACGGGGCCTTGTTTTATACGATGTAATTGATTAAATTAAAAAATTAAATTTTAAAAACGGGGCAGGGGTGAGAAAAAATTAAAAACATTGATTAAATTGAGAAAATTAAAAGAAAAATAATTGAAAAAATCAAACATAAAAAAAAACTAATTAAATTTTTTTTAAAAAAACTAAACGGTTCCATTTAAGTTTTATAAATTAAAACAAAAACAAACAAAATTTAATTCAAATAAAAAAACTAAAAAGAAACCAAGTTAAACCGAATAAAATCAATTTAAATAAGTTTTTGTTCTAATCTACAGCCTGAACAAATCTATAGCGAAGTTGTCCACAATAAAGTCAACAAAATAATCAATGTGGGAGAAGCTCTGGATCTTGGTAATTTAGCACTCTTGAAAATCATGGGAGTTGCGCTATGGCATGAAGTTAGTGTGCAGACAAATGCCGTGTGCTGCTGGACCCAACGCAGACTCTTCTAGGCGTTATCTGTTCTGCCCACCGAATCCTGACATGATAATCACTTGAGAGTTTCTTTTCTTATTTTATTAATTTGATTTGAAGTGTTGATTTGATATAATTTTTTTTCGAAAGAAAGAGATATTTTTCTTTAATATTATGATGAATTTTGATATTTGTAGTTTAACTCACTGCCTATATAATTTGTATTTTTGTTTAATAATTTTATATTTTAAAAATATTTTATATTGATTTATATAATAATTAAAATAAAAACAATAAAAACTAGTAGAATTCAGCATTAATTAAATATTGTGATGTTTGATTTATATTGTGATAACATTATAAATAATAAATTTAAATAAATTATGATGGTTAATT